GCCTACATTTATTTTATTTTGTAGTGCTGGGGATCTAATTCATGGCCTTACACATGCCAAGCAATAACTGCCCCACTAAATTACATCTGGAGTCTTTTTTCCCCTCATTTTATTTTAAAGATTTATTTTGTGTGTATAAATGTTTCGCTTGCATGTATATATGTGTACCAGGTACATGCCTGGTGCCCACAGAGGTCAGAAAACGGGGTTGGATCCCCTGGAACTGGAGTTACAGATGATTATGAGGTACCGTGTGTGTGCTCTTAGTGAACCCAGGTTCTCCGCAAGAACAGCCAGTGCTCTTAACAGCTGAGCTGTCTCTCTAGACTTAGAGCAGTGAAGGAAAAAAAAAAAAAAAAAGGCTTGGAACAGTCTTATCTACAAGAGGCTGGGTTCAATTCTGAACAAAGCAAAAGAGTGACAAACCCAAAGTGTGCAGAGGACATGGAATATACGGAAATCTTATATTTATGGTGGAAGTATAAAGGTATAAAGCAACACAACTAGCTGGGCAGTGGTCGCACACGCCTTTAATCCCAGAACTCAGGGGGCAGAGGCAGGCGAACCTCTGTGAGTTTGAGACCAGCATGGTCTAGAGTGAGTTCCAGGACAGGCTCCAAAGCTACACAGAAAAACCCTGTCTTGAGAAATAAAACAAAAACAAAACCCTAGACTTACCTGATATTTGTCACATACAATTAAAATATTGCTAACCTCAGGGGCCAGTTCCCATGCTCATCCTACTTAGATTTGTCTGCAACATCTGATGTCTTCCCCACCCTCCTTGACTGTTTTTTTTCCTTGACTTCTAGAAAGCAAATGTCTCCTGATTTTGCTCCCGTTTCTCTAGCCACTTCTCAGACCCTTCTGGCTAGTTTCTCCTGATAAGCAATGCAACTACCCAGCCCATTTCTCTTTTCTATTTATACTCCCTTGGTGAGTCTACCAAGTCTCATGACTTTAAATACCATCTATTCCCTAGTGACTCCTAAAGTCATCAGCTAGATCCTTTCAATTGAGGTCCAGACCAGTATAATCAATTACCTATCTGACATCTCCACTTGGATACTTTTTTTGGTTTTGTTTTGTTTTTTGTTTGTTTGTTTGTCTTACGAGACAGGGTTTCTCTGTATTGTTTTGGAGGCTGTCGGTCCAGCCTGGCCTCGAACTCACAGAGATCCGCCTCCCGAGTGCTGGGATTAAAGGCGTGCGCCACCACCCCGGCTCCACTTGGATACTTATATGTATCTGATACTTAAAACGTCTAGAACAACACTTTCTATTCCTCCCATGGTGGCTTCATCACTGAAATTGGTAACACAAATCTTCCAATGGCTCAACCAAAACCTTGGAGTTATCTTTGCTTCCTTCTCACACTTGATATCTGGTCCATCAACAAATCTTTTGCCAGCTCTCTGCCTTCTGACTTCATCCTGATTCTCAGCACTTCCCACTTTCTGTCACCATCTCTGAAGTTCAAATGACTCCTGCATTATTTCAACAGTCTTCCTGGCTCCCAGCTTCTACTGTCTCCCCATACTGTACCCCAATCTACTCACACAATGCAAGAGTGACCTGGTTGAAGTGTGATTCAGATCAAATTATTTGGCCAAAGGCTTCCTCATGTGGAATAATAACGAAATTCTTCCACTGACCTACAGAGACACCCTTCCTGCTGCCTACTTTACCTTTCTGACCTTATAAACCAAGCCAGATACGACTTCACTGCTGTATGTATCTCAAACATGCCAGGCTTGCTCCTGTCTTAGGACCATTATACTTTAGATTTGCTGTGTTTCTAGAAACTCACTTATCTCCCCCTTCCTTTCAGGTCTCTACTCAAATATGGTCTTTTTCCCTTTCTATTATTTCTTTTTATTTTTGTTTATTTACTTGTTTTTATCTATTATTTCTTTAGTCCTGGGGAGTTGGCCCTAAAGCCTCACACATGATAGGCAAGTGTTCTTTTTTTGTTTTTCTTTTTTTATTATTTTAATTTTAAATAGCTTGTTTCACATGTCAATCCCAGTTCCCTCTCCCTCCCCTCCTACCGCACCCCTCGTCCCCCCCAGCCTCCCATCCTATCCCTACTTCCTTCCACATAGGGGATATCTAGAGTCTGTCATTTCACTCAGGGCAGGGTCCAGGCACTCCCCTAAGAGTCCAGGCTGAGGGAGGCAGAGGCAGGTGGATCTCTGAGAGTTCAAGGCCAGCCTGCTCTACAAGAGCTAGTTCCAGGACAGCCTCCAAAGCCACAGAGAAACCCTGTCTCGAAAAACAAAAAAAAAAAAAAAAAAAAAGAGTCCAGGCTGAGAGAGCATCCCTCTTTGTGTTATGGACACACGAAGTCCGTTTGTATTCCAGGGATAAACACGTGGGCTCAGGGCCCCATAGGTTGCCAAGGCCTCCTCACTGACTCTCACACTCAGGGGGTCTGGATCAATCCTAGCAAGTTTTCTATTAGTGATATTTCCCAAGATTTTAAACATGCAGTCCTATAACAGGTTTATGGTTATATTGTTGTTGCTGTTGTTTTACTGGCCAACCTGCTAGAATTTATGCTCCCTGAGAACAAGTGATTGGGGGGGGCTTGGAGGGGCATATTTTTTCCAGTGTTTTATCATCAATACTTAGTATATAATAAACGTTTAATAAGTAGGCTCTGGGGAAAAAAAGAAAGAAATATGCAGACCTTATTCCCACAGTCAAGAAACCAAGACACATTTACTGAGCTAATAAAAATTCCATATAGAGATAGCCAGGCAGTGGTGGCAAACATCTTTAATCCCAGAGACAGAAAGATCTCTGTGAGTTTTAGGCCAGCCTGGTCTACAGAGCAGGTTTCAGGACAGGCTCCAAAGCTACAGAGAAACCCTGTCTTGAAAAATAAAAATAAACAAACAAAATTGTATATCGAGGGCTGGAGAAATGGCTCACTGGTTAAGAGACTTGCAGAGGGCCTGGGCTCAATTCCCAGCATCAGCACCGTAGCTTACAACTAGCTGTCTGTAACTCCAGTTCCAGGGGATCTTACAATGTTCTCTTTTGGCCTCCCAGGGCACCAGACACGCAACATGGTAGACATACATACATACACGTAAAATACTTGAACACATGAAATGAATAAATATAGTCAGGTGTGGTGGTGCACACCTTCAATCCCAGTGCTCAGATACAGAGGCAGGAGGATCTTTGTGAGTCCCAGGGTCTAGTCTACATAGGTGAGGCTAGCCAGGATTACTTAGTGAGAACCTGTCTCAAAAACAAACAAATAAAACAACAACAACAACAACAACAAAAAAAAAAAAACCCAAGTTAAAAAAGAAAATCTACAAGCAATGAACATAAAGATGGGCATAGTGATTCATCCCTATAATCATAGCACCTGAGACACTGAGGCAGGAGGATTTTGAGTTCTAGGCCAACCTAGGTTACATATTGAGACCTTATCTGAAAACAAAGACAAAGAAGGAAAAGCTACATATAGTTCAGTATATGTATACAAATGTAATCAATAGCTCTCTAGCTACAAAATTAGATATGGGCTGCCACTCAGTTGGTAGAGGGCCTGAATAGCACACATGAAGCTCTGGTTCTATTCCTACTGAACACTGCATAAAAACCAGGTGTGGTGGCTAAATTCCAGAACCTGCCAACACAGTGAGAGGGGAGAAGAAGGAAGGAGAGGAAGAGAGGCAGTGAGGGAGGAGAGGAGAGGGAAAAAGAGAGAAAGACAGAGTTCTAAGTCTTATGCTCCTCTGGGAAAGAGAGGGGGAAGGAGATTTCCAGTTAGGCATGGTGGTTCATGCCTGTAATCCAAGTACTCAGTGCCACCATAAATCCCTTTCAAACAAAACAAGGGGAAACGGCTCAGTCAGTAAAGTGCTTGCTGTATAACCATGAGGACCTGTGTTTAGTTCTCCAACACCCATGTAAAAGCTGGAGGGGGGTTGCCATCATGCCCCTCTGTTAGTCCCAGTGCTGAGAAACCAGAGATAGGTAGGTCTTGGGGCTTGCTGGCCAGCTAGTTTAGCCAAATTTGTGAAATCCAGGTTCAGAGAGACTGTCTCAAAAAATAAGGTGGAAAGTAAGTGAGGAGAACACACACACACACACACACATGCACACATGCACACACTCTTATGTCCTTAGCTTGAGTATTCTGGAACAGAATCTGCTTTAATGGTTGAAAGCAGGAAAGAAAATAAGCACCAGATGACAGCAAACTGAGGACTAGAAAAAGTAGCTACCCGCCCTGTGTCTTATGTTGCAACATGAGCTCTCAAAGGGTGCCCTTAACACAGAGCCACTTCTACAACTTTGACCCCTCCCTCCCATCACATGAAACACACACTACCAGTTACCTTAGTCCTCTCTTACCAGAAAAGAATACTGTGTGTCTAAGTTTGGAGGACCACAGTAGATTGCATGGAGGCTTGTTTAGTCAAATGCCACTGACCAAAAGGACTCAAACAAATGCCAGTGATTCAAACTTGACCAGTTTAAAAGAAACATGGCAACAGTGAAGCCTCCCTGTCCCCCCACCTTGCCCCCACAACAGTCTGTCATAACCCATCAACTGGACACCCTGATGTCACTTGAATTAACCCACTACTTTGATCTCCAAAGATACCCAGTATTTTCCTGGTCCTGAACATTAACTCCCCCAGCCTAAGGGAAGCACCCTTAGGGTAAGCTCTGAATCCCTTGCTCATAACACAGGTACTCATGTGGACAGGACACCTCCCACCTCTCTACCTTCCCACTCCATGCACGCCAGGCTAGCTACTATCTTCAGTTGTCTCCTTCAGGTCCTCTTGAGACTGGTCTGTGCCACTTCCTCTGCCTGTAAAGTTCTTTTCTAACTTCTAGCTAACCCTCAGAACTGTCAGTCCGTCACTTAAAGCACCACCTCCAGGGGAGCCCGTGTCCTTGGCTGGAGTCAACATTCAGCTCAGTGTTCCCACAGCACCCGAGGCTTTGGCTTTCTCAGTGCTCACCTGTCAACTGTCTAGCAGTGAGAGCGACAGGACTCAGCTTCTCTCACACACTGCTGTCTCTCCAAAACACAGCACAGCTTCTGATACAGAGGGAGCTGCAGCATGACCAGTCACTGAACCAATGAGGAAATCAAATCAGGCACAATCCTGTGAGGATGACACACTGATTAGAAGTTCTTCTGATTTTAGACAAATGATTATCATTTTCAAAACAGGGTTTCTCTGTGTAGTTTTGTAGACCAGGCTGGCCTCAAACTGGCCTAGGTTCTATAAGAAAGCAGGCTGGCCATGCGTTGGTGGCACTCGCCTTTAATCCCAGCACTGGGGAGGCAGAGGCAGGCGGATCTCTGTGAATTTGAGGCCAGCCTGGTCTACAGAGAGAGTTCCAGGACAGCCTCCAAGACAATACAGAGAAACCCTGTCTCGAAAAACCAAAAAAAAAAAAAAAAAGAAAGAAAGAAAGAAGCAGAAAGCAGGCTGAAGAAGCCAGTAAGTAGCACACCTCCATGGCCTCTGCATCAGCTCCTGCCTCCAGGTTCCTGCTGTTTGAGTTCCTGCCCTGACTTCCTTCAGTGATGAACTGTGATGTGGAAACATAAGCCAAATAAACCGTTTCATCCCCAAGTTGCTTTTGGTCATAGTGTTTAATCAGAGAGATACTAACCCTAGCTGAGACAGCATGATCAAGATCAAGATCAGGCTCAGCAAGATGGCTCAGTGGGTAAACTAGAGTTATACAAGTCTGATGACCTGAGTTCAATTCTAGAACCCTCATAAAAATAGAAGCAGAGACCCAGCTCCAAAAAGCTTTCTCTGACTTCCTTTTTTTGTTTGTTTGTTTGTCTCTCGAGACAGGGTTTCTCTGTGTAACAGTCCTGGCACTCACTTTAAACATCAAGCTGGCCTCTGCCTCCAGAGTGCCAGTACTAAAGGCGTGCACCATCAACGCCTGGGCTGACTTCCACATGTCATAACATGTGTGTGCACATACACACACACTGACTGCTCTTCCAGAGGACCTGGGTTCAAATCCCAGCACCCACATGGAAGCTCACAGAAATCTGAAACTCTAACATCTAATACCCTCACACAAACATACATGCTGGCAAAACACTAACGCACATAAACACAAATTATTTTGAAAGTAACATAAGGAAATAATATATTAAATATTTACTTCACTGTCCCCAAACACAAGCTGGATCTCCTGAATACTCCACACGGTAATATAAACACAAAAGGCTGAAAAGAAACAGGGAGTACAGTTGAACCCTTCTCTCTGACAATCTAAGAAGTCCTAGCAGGTCAAATTTTCCAACTCACCAGGTTCCTAGAGCCACTCTGAGGTGGGATCCCCTCAGAGATAATCATTTTCTAGCACGTGCCCCATGGGACAGCAGAAGTCACTAAGCACAAGGACTATCCTCTGCTCTGGAACGCTGCCCAACAGTGAGAACAGTGAGGTGCTCGATGGTGTGGCCAGTGGGAAAGCACTTGCCTAGCATGCACAACATCCAGTACCCCTAAAAACAAAACAAAACCCAAATATAAGATCTGTGTGACGACGCACAGCTTTAATCCCAGCACTCGGGAGGCAAAGGCAGGAGGATCTCTGTGAGGAGTTCTGAGACAGCCTGGTCTACAGAACGAGTTCCAGGACAGCCAGGGCTATTACCAAAAAAAAAAAATTAATAGAATGGGGAAGTCTTTCATTTTTTTTCTCAATGTCTCTTATTTTAACTTTCGACGGTAGTGGGACTGAACCCAGGATGTGTGCATACTAGGCAAGTGGTCTCTGAACTCGAGACCTCTTTCACTTTTAATTTTGACCCAGGCTCTTGTAAAAGTCCAGGCTGCCTCTGAACTCACTCTGTAGCCCACAGAGGCCTTGAATTTGCAATCCCCCTGCCTCAGCCTTCCACATGTACCCTGCTGTTCTTTTGTTCATATATATATATTTTTTTAAAGTATGTGTAAGAAATCGAGGGATTGGGAACATACCTTAGTGGTAGTGCACTTGTCTAGCATGCAGGAGTCCTAGGCACAATGCCCAACACAAGAAAAACAAATAAATGAAATAAAATTAGACATGACATCTAAATTTTTAAGTAATTTGGATTTTTTCAACTTTAAATATAAACTCCTGTTTTGCTGTAGAACCCTGAACCCAGAGGTTTACACATATGCAGAAAAACTCTCCCTTCCTCCCTCCCTCCCTTCCTCTATCTCACTATGTAGCTCTGGCTGTCCTGGAACTCACAAAGACCCACCTGCCTCTGCCTCCCAGTGCTGGTTGGCACGGCTAATCTCTGCTTTAATCACAAGCCTCTGTGTCACAGACTCACTTTATCAGAGGGCACTGCATGCCCTCATTATTTCTCCTATAGGAAAACCCGAAAGTCAGTTCAGTGAAAGTCGATTCTGTTAGCACTACTGGTTTATCTGGTAAGAGTTCCTTGCAGCTGAACTGTCAAACACTAGTGATTACTTTATTGCAGGTCAGAGTTGATAGCTGTCCTCACTTACCCTGAAAATGGAGTGGGTGCTAAGCAATTATTTGTCAAAGGTTTCATTGCCATAGTAACTTAGAAACACCTGGAGAGTCTCCTGTATGTCCACCTTCCCTTGAAAAAAAAGTGTCTGATAGTAAAACTCAAAAACAAAAACAAAGCCTGGCAGTGGTGGCACTCGCCTTTAATCCCAGCACTCGGGAGGCAGAGGCAGGAGGATCTCTGTGAGTTTGAGACCAGCTTGGTCTACAAGAGCTAGTTCCAGGACAGCCTCCAAAGCCACAGAAAAACCCAGCCTCTAAAAAGCAAAACAAACCAAAACAAACAAAAAACCCACAACCCATGAAGCACAATGAAGCCATATCTAAGTAGAGCACATTCCAACGTAACAATGTCTCCTAAGAGTACTGACTCCTGCCAGGCGTTGGTGGCACATTTTAATCCCAGCACTCTCGGGAGGCAGGGGCAGGCAGATCTCTGTGACTTCAAGGCCAGCCTGGTCTACACAGCAAGTTCCAGGACAGCCTCCAAAACAATACAGAGAAACCCTGTCTCGAAGAAAAAAAAAAAAAAAAAAAGAGTACTGACTCCCAGCACTTAGGAGGCAGAGACAGGGGATCTCTGTGAGTTCAAGGCCAGCCTGGTCTAGAGAGTGAGTTCCAAGACAGGCTTCAAATCTACACAGAGAAACTCTGTCTCAAAACCAAAAAGAGTACTTATTGCTATAACAGAGGACCTGGGTTCAGTTCCTAGCACCTACATGGCAATTCACAGTCATTTGTAACTCTAGTACCAGGAGATCTGACACCCTCTTCTGGCCCTCATTGGTACCAAGCACACATATGGTGCATATACATACATATAGACAAACTCTCTCTCTCTCTCTCTCTCTCTCTCTCTCACACACACACACACACACACACACAAAATCTCTTTTTTTTTTTACGGTTTTTACAAATATTGTTTATTTTAATGAAGCTGGTACAGATAATGTCCCTTGAAAACCCATGTCCCAGGTCAAAAAGTACTAACACAGAATCAAAAGGAGCAGTGTCTGTTGCATACACTGCTGCATGAGTAACTGCTGATGAAAATTACAGCTTTCCTGGGACCTTCAGGCAGCCTGTCTTACTCTTAGGATGCTTCTTTCTCTCGAGTGAAGCCATCTTTGGAGTTAGTAGTTACTCTCACTGTATCTGTCATCTTGACTACAAAAAATGTGACATTCTTCTTTTGGTTCAGACCCTCAGATTTTAAAAGTAGCTTCAAGCTGAGGAAAGATCATTTTCCCACAGTTCAGTTCTCTGAAAAAGTTCCATCTCCCACTGAAAAGCACAATCCAGAGTGAGGCAACTGCATGCTGGAACTTCAGGGCCAATGGAAGTTGATCTTATCATCACAAACCTGAAATGCACAGTCCTGGAAAGGGTGGCCTCTCTGTGCACACATGAAATCTAAATTACTATAGAAATCATACATCTGAATTTTCTAGGCTTTTACTGATATTGTTTGTTTGCTTGTATTGTTATGTTAGGCTGGCGTTGAACTTTCAGAAATCTTGCTTCTAGCTCTTGAGTGCTGGGATTGCAGGCATGAGCTACTACCTGGCCTCTGTGTGTTTTACTTATTCTAAAAACATTTTTGGATTTATTTTATATTATGTTGTGAGTATTTTGCCTGCATGTGTGTCCAAGAAGGCCAGAAGAGAATGCCAGACTCTCTGGAACTGGATTTATGAATGGTGTGAGCCACCATGTGAGTGTTGGGTACCTAACCCATCCTGAGCAAGAACATCAAGTGTTCTCTTTTTTCTTCAAGACAGGATCTCTCTATGTAGTACTGGCTGTCATGGAACTCACTCTGTAGACTGGGCTGACCTTGAATTCACAGAGATCCACCCACCTCTGCCTCCCAAGTGCTGGGATTAAAGGCTTGCACTACCACGCCCAGCAACATCAAGCATTCTTAACCACCAAGCCATCTCTCTGGCCCTTTTTGTGTTTTTGTGACATAATCTTAATATGCAACCCAGACTGGCCCAGAACTTGCTATTTTCCCACCTCCTGGGTATTAGGATTACAGGCACATACCAACCTCACTCAGCTTCAATTTCTAGACACACACACACACACACACACACACACACACACACACACACACACACACACACACACAGAGGCCTGGAGGTGGCTGATCAGGTAAAACTACCTGCTGCCAAACCTGACACCCAAGTTCCACGCCCAGGATCCACATGGTAGGACTAGCTGCCCTGACCTCTATATTCATGCATACAAAATAAATTAATAAAATGTAAAAAAAATTTAGTAATGGAAGATTACAGTTGTATCTCAGTTCATATAGTACATGCCTAGCAAGTACAAGGCCTTGGGCTCAATTTCTGGGGCCTTATAAAACCAGACATGGTGGTAAAGTCTTAGTACTTGGAAGGTGGAGGCAGGAGGATTACAATTCTAGGGTCATTTTCTGCTACACAGTGAGTTTGAATAAAGGATTAGACTCAGACCAATAATCTCATAGGAAAAGTGACAACCATATTCTAAGTGAACATTCTTTATAACAGAATTTTCTATAAAACAGGGATTCTTTAGAACTGTCAATTTAGCTGCAGGTGGTGGCACACGCCTTTGATCCCAGCACTCAGGAGGCAGATGCAGGTGGATCTCCGTGGAGTTCGAGATCAACCTGATCTACAGAGCGAGTGCCAGGGCAGGTCAGCCAGGTCTACACACAGAAACAATGTGTGGGGGGGGATAAAGGGATTCTAACAATTGAATTGCATACAAAAATCTCCATCTTGGCCCCAAAATATGTTTTAAGTTCATAGCCCTAAAGCATTAATTTTCTGTTTTCTGTAAAATGGGTGTCCTGAAACTTACATTCTCTGGTGTAGTTGTTTTTTTTTGTTTTGTTTTTAAGAAGGAAATGAGTTTCCTTATCACAGGTGAATCTAGCTTCCCCTACTCAAAGACAATCATTTTCCTTATCACTCTGTATGATAATAATGTCTTTTTTCTAGTTTAAGGGCTGTTTCTTTCAACTGAGTGGTCTTCCATCAGGAAGTCTTCGTGCCCACAGATGGGCAAGAACAGTGCCTGAGCACTATTTGATTTCTTCCTCAGTATTCTGCCCTCTGCATGATACTGGGAACAATGAACACAAACCTACCATTACTTCCTTGCTGTCTACCCAATATAGTTTTGTACCTTTACATTTCTGTCCTGTTCGTTAGATCCTGCTGCAGTCTGGAAGGTCAAGCTGTTCACATACCCATTCACAAATGCTCGTCTCCCAGCCGTCTTTCCTCATATTTAGGTGTAATAAAACCTTAGCAGGCACACCTCATCTGTCTTTTGTCTCCCCAAATCCAGCAGGTTTTTTTTGTTGTTATCGTTTTCCTGGGCTACAAAAGTAGGCCAGAGCCAACAGGGACACAGCACTCGGGGCTGGCAGGGTAAACCAAACACTTCTCGGATGTTCCTTTTTTTCAAGCTGTTACCTGAACACCAGTTTCTAATATATGTACCGCCTGAAAATTCCATCTCGTTTTGCGAGAGGATGGATCAGCTATGCGACGAGTCCTTTGTCTGAAGTTCCCACACCTCACAAACGTTCATCTACAAAGCGCCCATCCTCACACAGGTAAGGTACGGAGGGAGTAGTCTGCTCCGCACTAGGCGAGGCAGCCTAGGGTTTCACGTCTGTGTAACGATGGGTTAGGTTCAAGATCCTACCGGATCCAAAATTCTGCTTCCAAACGCGCAGGTCCTATCTCTACGGTGGGGAAAACGAAGCCCAGGGCGAGCCTGGTACTCAGTGCAATGCACATAATGGCATTTAGCACAGGCCTTCTCCAGCCGGGGCCCCACGTATGCTCACTTCCAACCTCAGGATCTGGGCGGCGGCAGAGGCCGGGCCAGTGCCCGCTCTCAGCAGCGCCATGCCCTCCTTCGCCCTCACCCGCCGCCGGCTGCCTCTCACCTGGCACGCTGGCATCGCCCGTCCGGAGCCGCTCGCGAGACCATAGATCTGGACGGCTTTCGGAGGCCGCCCGTCCGCCTTGAGGGAGGCTAGTGCGGATGCGCGGACACCGGAATCCAGCGCACCGATACCGGGAACACGCCGCCCGGTTTCTAAGGAACAGGGAGCACTGGTAGGGAGGGGCGGGGCGGCTGGAGGAGAGCGCATGCTCTGTGACGGGGGTGGACCCGCGCTGGGAGGGGCCGGGATGGAGAGCTGCGCATGCTCGTGCCTTGGGGCGGTGCTTATGAAACCGGCCGGGAAGCTATTGGCTCTCCTCTTATTTCTGCCCTAGAGGCGTGGATGCTAGTGGCTTCCGACCTCAGACGCTCTCGAGTTTGCCCACTGGCGTCAAGAATGTAGATGCTTTCGAGATTTTCCTGGGATGAAGAAAGGTTTGCTCAGGTGTCTGGTCTCTTCCTCTGGATGTTTTTTGGTTGTTCCTTAAATGTCATTTTTCTTTTAGACTGTGACCTAAAGTTCCCTTGAACTCCTTATGGAGCCTGTGTTCTGTCAAGGAAATAGATTTTGTAATGAGACTATCCTTAGTCTTACCAGACTATTATAGTGAAGCTGGTAGACCTGAGTGTGAAATTAACTCTGCAGAATGTGACTGGGTTTATTTTGTGTGGGAATTAGTCTCTTGGCTACTTCTCAGTTGCAAAAGGGGGAGGCTCCTAGTGCTCATCCCACAGCAGGGCGGGATGAAAGAACATGTCTGCGGGAGGCAGTTCTGTGACCCTTTACCAGTTTAAAAACTTGTCGCCATTACCACTATGTCTCTGCACCTAGACAGCTACCAGGGTGAAAAGAAATTGAAGTTTTGAATATTCCTCTTCAAATGGGCCACTATCCCCTGTCCACTAAAGACAGAAAGAATCAGAATTAAAATGGGGATGTATTTTCTATTTCTTTTTATTTATTTATTTATTTATTTATTTATTTATTTATTTTGGTTTTTACGAGACAGGGTTTCTCTGTATTGTTTTGGAGGCTGTTGGTCCAGCCCGGCCTCGAACTCACAGAGATCCACCTGCCTCTGCCTTCCGAGTGCTGGGATTAAAGGCGTGAGCTACCACCTCCTGGCTGTATTTTCTATTTCTTAAAATAAATTTTGTTTCTTCATTTGTTTTGTTTGCTTTCGAAATAAGGTTTCTCTGTGTAGCCCTGGCTGTCCTGGAACTCACTCTGTAGACCAGGCTGGCCTTGAACCCATGAAGATCTACTTGCATCTGCCTCCCAGATGCTGGTATCAAAGGCCTGTACCACCACCTACTGGCTTGCATTTTGTATTCCTCCTAGATCAGGGTTTTTCAGCAGCGATACCATTAACTTTTAAAGCCCGATAGTTTTTGGTTCGGCAGAGAGGGAGAGACTATGTGCTGTAGGATGGTAGGCAGTATCCCTGGCCTCTACACAGTAGATGCCATTAGCACGCAACTCCAGTTGTGACTACCAAAAGTTACTTTTGTGCTTATCTGATTTCACATTTCTTCGTCTACATTAGCTCTTCCCAAAGAATTGTAGGCGCTGGGGTGTAGCTTAGAGGTAGAGCGCTTGCCTCGTGTATGTGAGAGCCTGGGTTTACACCACAGCAATGCCAGACAAAATCAAGGACATCTGTAAGGTGCTACTGAATGAAACGTTCAGTGCAGATTTAGAGAAATGCACTGTTGCCCCACACTTTAACTCAGGACTTTTAGAGCTTTTAAACAGCTGGTAATTGCCAGGCTGGTGGCTAACACCTTTAATACCAACACTCTGGAGGCAGAGGAGGATGGATCTCGACGCCAGCCTGGACTACAGAATTCCATCCAGGACAGCCAGGGCTACACAGGAGACCCTATCTCAAAAAAAACAAAAAAAACAAAAACAGATAAACAAATAGCTGATGGTTGGTGTTCACTATCAACAACCAAGAGTTTTCCTGATTTATAGACCACCCTGACCCTGACCCAACGTGTCTCCTTGAGAGATGAGTCTTGTTCCTTCAGCAAACCTGCTTCTTTTTGTAGTATCAACAACCATCATAGTCACTCCCTCCAATCAAAGCTTGTTTGCCTTGTTTCTTCAGCAGTCACCCATCTTGTGCCAACTTTTATTTCTAAATATTCCTCAGCCTTGCTGCTTTTTATGACCTACTTGTGGCATCCTAGTTCATGCCCTTATCTGTTATCTCTGTGTCTTACCTCATGTAGACACCAGCATATTTACTGTATCCCTTTTCTGTACAAACCCCTAGTTTTATGGGGTCAGGAGAACCAGTCACACAAGACTCACGGAAGGACGCAGCACTGCTCAAGCATGCTATCATCCAATGGCTCCACATTAACCTTACCTTTTAAGTCTGGGAAGCAAGCCCAGAAAACCAACTTCCTTTTTCTTCCTTTGTTGCTAGGGATTGTACCAAGGGAATGTGGTGTCTTGGTTTCTTTCCCTGTTGTGACAAAATACCCCAACAAAAACAACTTGAGAGGAAGTTCATTTGGCTCATAATTCCCAGTTACAGTCCATTATTATGTGGACGTCACGGTGAGAGACACTCAAGAACAGAGCTGGAGAGAGCTCAGAGATTAAGAGTACTAGCCGGGCGGTGGTGGCGCATGCCTTTAATCCCAGCACTCGGGAGGCAGAGGCAGGCGGATCTTTGTGAGTTCGAGGCCAGGCTGGACCGATAGCCTCCGAAATAATAGAGAGAAACCCTGTCTCGTAAAAAAAAAAAAAAAAGAGTACTTGCTGTTCTTCCAAGGGACATGAGTTCAGTTCCTAGCACCCATGACAGCTCACGACTATCCATAACTCTAGTTCCAGGGGATCTGATGACCTCCAAGAGCACCAGGCACACAGGTGGTGCACAGACTTATATGCAAGCAAAACACAGATACAAACAAAAAACAAAACCAAGGAGGAACGCATACATGCCGCTGCTCAACTCACTTACCCAGTCTTATATAGTCCTCTGGGCAGGATCCTCTGCCCAAGGAGTGGGCCACATACTGTAACAGACCTTGAGACCTTAGCACAACTGAAGCCATATGGGACACCATTTTAACCTTAGGACCCAGAACATACTCCGCAACACCTGCCAAAATGGAAACAAAGATCTAATCTATCAAAGACCTAATCCACAATTCCAGGATCTGGGAAAGTCCCTAAACATACTAACCTTTGTTTTTTGCTTCTGTAGTTTCACTTCTTGTTAACCAATGTGTGCCAACCAGGATGTGGTTTTTGTACATAAAAGGCAAAAACGTGTTGAGTCTTTGAGCTGAATGATTTGGGCAAGTTTCCTATGTAGTCACCAGCCAGCAATACAGACTTTGTGTTTGGCTCTTAAGAGTTTCTATGTGAGCTAGACAAATCTCAGCACTTGGGAGGCAGAGGCAGGCAGACCTCTGTTCCAAGGTAGCTGTTCTACAGAGTGAGTTCCAGGACAGCCAGGGCTACACAAAGAAACTTGTCTCAATGAAACTATTAAAAAAAGGAGTTTCTAGTCGAGCGGTTGTGGTACATGCCTTTAGTCCCAGCACTTGGGAGGAAGAGGCAGGTCGATCTCTGAGTTCAAGGCCAGCCTGGTCTACAGAGAGAGTTCCAGGACAGGCTCCAGAGCAATACAGAGAAACCCTGTCTCAAAAAAAACAAAAGAGTTTCTATGTGTTGGGTTGGAGAGATGACTTAGTGGTTAAGAGCACTGGCTGTTCTTCCAGAGGACCCAGGTTCTATTCCCAACATCCACATGGCAGCTCACAACTGCCTTTAATTCCAGTTCCAGGGGATCTGACACTCTCATCTGACTCTTGAAAGGCACCATGCACACATTGTGCCTAGACATACATGCAGGTAACACACCAATACACGTAAAATTACAAAGAGAAAAGAGTTTCTGTGTGTTCTCTGGTAGAATTACTTCACAACATTCTAGAGGCCCCAGCGAGATAGATGTCCAACACCCAAATAACTTGTTATCAAGCACTTCTCTTAGACCAACTCCATACCCAATTCTATAAAACTTCGGTCATCAAAAGCCATCCTGCTGCCACACAATAACCCAACAGAGCCTCTCCGCTATTTCCTAGAACTGACTGATGTGGTCCAATTGGTCAGACCTGACAAAACAGAATTGGAAGAGGTACTATAACATCAACTGGAGAAGTTTTGTTCAAAATGGAATCAGGTAACATGGGGCTCTAGTTGTCACCTTGGACAGGACAGTTTGGGCTCAGTCTCTCAAATGATTGACTTCAGCTGAGCTTTTGACATTAACCCAGGCATTTTGCTGGAGGGAAGACTCTCATCACTGTGTACACAACAGTTGCTATGGGTTTACTATAGCCTATATTCATGGGTATCTCTATAAGGGAAGGCAACTCCTCACCTCAACCAGAAAGAAAACTAAAAACAAAGAAATCCTGGCCCTATTAGAGGCCATACAGCTGCCATTGTCCACTGCAAAAGGCATCAAAAGGGGGAATCCCAGGATGCCCAAGGAAATGGGACAGCAGACTTAGCCACCCAGAAGGCAACCCTAGAACCAGTGAGTGGGACCACTTCAGATCTTGGTCACCCTACCCAAACCCAACACCAAAACTACACACAGAAAGAAACCAAATGGACAGAAAAGGAAGGTGACAAATAGGTGGTTCTTGCCAGACATATTCCCTCCTATTTTCAGAAGACAAATGGTCACCAAACTACACCAGGCCATCCACCTGGGGGCATCCAAATCTGCTGAGTTACTCAGGGCCAAATATTCCATCCTTCAACTAGACAGTCTTGTCAAAGACATTGTGTTCAGATGTTCAGGTGTACACAAGTGAATCCCAAAGGAGGAAAAAAAAAAAGGCTGGGACAGAACCCGCACCCAAGGAGGGCCCCTAGAGAACACTGAGAAGTCAACTTTACAGAGGTAAAACCCACAGTGCTTGGGTTTAAATATTTCTTAGTTTTCATAGATAGCTTCTCTGGATGGGTGGAAGCCTATCTCAACCAAATGTAGACAACATCAGCAGTCACCAACTCCAAGAGTTAATGATACCTAGATATGGGTTGCCCCTCTCCCACTCTGACAGTGGCTCAGTCTTCACAGCTTAAGTTTCTCCAAA